GGAGGAAAATGGAGACTTGAGTCCTATTTAAGAGGCAGAATCGAGGTGTAGGTGGCTGGTTAGAAAACTGGGTCGAAGGAGAAAGAGTCGAGGATGGGGACTGGCCGTCTGCTGGGTGAACCGGCCAATGGTGGAATATCCCTGGAGGAGAGTTGGGTGGGAGATGGTGGGTTTAGGGCAAGGTGGGCGTGTGCTATTCAGAGGTGGAGTTGAACATGTAGGTCTGGATGGAGTGCAGGGAAGTTCTCCGGGCTGGATGGAGATTTGAGTACCCTTAGCATGGGGAAAAGCCGATCTCAGGGAGACGGTGAGATGGGTCCTGGCCGGGCTGAGCTCCCTCTGTCCTGACCACACAGGGCACCTCCTGGCAGCACCAAACATCTCAGCACCCGTTATCTTCAGACTCGCCTATTTGCTGCCTCATTTGTTCCTCACTTTCAATCTGAATGTGTTTTCCCTCCAACGACACCCTAAGCAGAGACTGCCCTATATTTCATGTATACACTACATGAAATATAGGGCTCTCCATACACTAGCACAGGGTCTGTCAAATAGTAAACTTGATGATACTAATGATAACAACTACTAGTAATAGTGTCTGTTATGTAGAGGGCATGATGTTAAGGTCTTAACTCTGCTACTTTATTCTGTTCTCTTGAGGACCCAACAAGGTAGGTATCAGGAACCTCATTTTACAGATGAGGAAACAGATGAAGTTGCGGCGCATGCCTAAAGCTCCCTGGCCAGCAAACGGAGAAACGCAGCTCTGGACGCAGCTGAGTCCGCCCCCAAAGCCTGTGTGCCCTCCCGCTAAGCAGGACACGGACCCTTCCAGTCTGGCTGGGAGGCCACAAGGAAGAGAGGGTGCAGATTTGCCCCATGGCTGCCAGGACAGGAATCAAAAGCCTCTCAGGGGAGCTCTGAGCAGACTTGATTCTTAGCTCAGTGGCAGAAAAACTGGCAACCACAACCAAAACTGGCACCTTGTGTTCAAGGTGAAACAGCTCCTCAGGAAGTGGTGAGCTGCCCGTCACGGTCACGGAGGAGGGGTTGCGTGAGACATGGTCTTTAAGGAACCTCCAATCTTGAGCGCTTATGGGTGAACCTGCTCGTGTTTCTCTTTTTCTTGGCTGTGCCATGCAGCATGCAGGATCTTAATTCCCCGACCAGGGGTCGAACCCGTGGCCCCTGCAGTGGAAGCGTGGAGTCTTAACCACTGGACCGCCAGGGACGTCCCGACCTGCTGATGTTTCAAGGGGGATGATATGCTTGGGAAAAGCACCCACCCCCACCCCCACTTCAAAGAAAAGGCAGGAAGCTAGCCGAAGGGAAAAGATTGACTTAAGAAAGCAGATTTCAGTGCTTCCAAGGATCCAAGGGAAAGGGGTGGGAGCGGTGGGAGTGATTTTCAGGGAGAAAACAATGTTGAAAGTAGTGAGAACGACTTCTGCAGACATGGGACAGGCGGAGGCAAGCTGATGAGCTCCGTGGAAAATGGCGTAAGAATCACCATTGGGCATGGACTCCTTCCTTTCTTCTCCATTAACTGAGCACCCATCAGCAGCCTGGCACCAGACCAGCAGCTGCGGGGTGGGGGGTCGGGGAGTGGGGAACAGAGCAGGGTGAAGTAACAGTCCCTTCCCTTGGGAGAGCACAGCGTAATCCTCAGAGACAAGATAAAAAGCCGAGTGGCTAAAAAGATTGAACACATGCAAGTTTACGAACTGAAAGCAAGATAAGAGCCTGAGAACCCGGCAGGGAAGGCCCAGCCTTCCCTCTGCGTGGCACACAGGGAGAAGCAGGGCCAGATGCCTAAAGAGAACCACAAAGAAACCACGGAAGCCTAAGGCTAGCAGAAAAGCTGGAACAGGAACCCAGCAAAAGTCATAAAAGGAGATTGAAAAATCTTCTCTCCGTTTACCTGGAAAAAGGTGATAAAAGGAATGTGCTCCTTTTTTAGATGGAGAGAGAGCACAAGGTTAGAAAGCTCGGGCTTTGTGTTTGAGTCCAAGTATGTGTGGTGTGCATGCATGTACGTGGGCCTGTAAACCCATGCACGTGGAGGTGTGAGTGTGGCACATGGGTGTTCAGTGCCCCTGGGTGAATCTGCCTGAGGCTGTGTGTTGAGGGTGCGTGCGTCTGTGCTTCGTGTGGCAACAAGCAACATGACCTCGGTCCTCTTGACCTCTACTCTATGGGGTCAGTCTCCCTTACACACTGGGACAAAATGACGTGGACTCTGGATTGGAGAAGGACACAGTGGTCACCTCGTGCAGCTGCCTTCTCCTCTTTGGGCCTCACTTTCCATACTTGTAAAACAAGGACATTGAAGCATTGGCTTTCAACCCAGGGAGCACATCATGGGCACCACTGAAGTTTCAAAATAATAAGAGATGCCCAGGACCCACTCTGGCACTACTGAATCCTGATCTCTAGGAGAGCCTTCTAACAAAGTTCCTTCCCAAGAGGTTCTGAAACCTAGCCTTGTTAAGAACAGCAAAGGTGCCCTGGGCTCCAGATTCCATTTCCTCCCCATGAACTTGACAGCGAGCTGGGCGTGCATTCATGGTATGATGGAGTCTGTTTGCACAAAGGCAGGCTTATCACACCGCAGCCAGTGCAACTGTGGGAAATAGGGCCGCTGTGTAGGCTAAAGACCTCGAATGCAAAAGACTCCAACCTTTAGGGTCCTGGATGAAAACTGACTCGATGAAACTAACAAAGATAAACACAAGCTCTGGACTGAGGCAAACAAAGTAATCGGCAGACACAAGAAACTGGTAACAGCAGGTGCTTCGGGGGAAGGCAGCTGCATGACTGAGGACAGTGGTCAGTGAGAAGGAGCTACATCTCACTGTAACTTGTATATGCCTTTTGAATGTTGCATCATGTGAATGTATCAACTGTCTTTAAACATCACTGGGAGGGACTTCCCTAGCCTTCCAGTGGTTAAGACTCCGAGCTTCCAATGCAGGGGGTGCAGTTTGATCCCTGGCAGGGGAACTAAGAGTCCACATGCTGTGTGGTGCAGCCAAAAAAATAATAATAAAAAAAATAATCCCTGGGAAAATATCACTGGCAGAAGCACAGAATCGGCAGAAGAACCTGGCTGGATATAAGTGGGGTGCATGCAATCTAGGGTTTTAGCTGACAAGCTTACCCTGAGCAGACACCGTACCGTGGCTGTCAAAGTCAACCTGACTTTCAGCTTCACGGTGGACAGGTGGTGTGCTCCTTAGGGGGGGACTCTCCCTCTGTGATCTGTGCAGTTCACTCCCTGTCTGTACCCCTGCGCCCTGGACTGAGCACCACATTCGGAGTAGTGTCTGGACTGACATGCTAAGCCACACCCAGAAAAGAGAAATCGGGAGGGGGAAGGGTCAGAAACTGCACAGAAGTGGGTAAAGGGACCCAGATTGTCAGCCCAGGCTGGGGGAACACTGTATGGGGCACCATCACTGTCTCCAAATATCTTCATTGGCAAAAGGGAGCAGACTGTCCTTCCTGAGGACAGAGCTTCAGTTTGGTGTGGGCAGGCACTGTGGGCAGGTCCTTTGGGGGCTAAGGAAAAGCTTGCTAACTTTTAGAGCCATCTCACAGCAGAATGTAGTGGGCTCCCTGTCATAGGACATGCTTGAGCTGGCGGGGTGCCGGACCATCTCTCTGTCAGAGATCATGCCGAGGGGATTCTCACATCCACAAGGACACTGAACCGGGTACAGTCTGAATCTGAACCCACCCTGACTCATGAGGAACGCCCCAGGCCCCTGGATACCAGTGCCAGGCCTTGCTTGGCACGTTTTGTCTCTCAGGGTGGTTAACTTGCTGTTACCCACTGGGATGTCGACCTAGAAGCAGTGCAGGTAGAGCTAGGGTAGCCAGAAACCCAGGGCTGCAGAGCACCAGCCCCAAACCTGGGCCAATAATAGATGCGCCCTTCTGCCTTTTAAAAAAAAACAGCATTTACTGAGTGCTGCTATGTAGTAGCCAAGAGCTACTCTGAGAGTGAACAAGACAGGCAGATCTTGGCCTGCATTCTAGGGAGGAGACAGAAACTGACAAGGAAAATGTTAGAAGGAGTAAATGCTACAGAGAGAATTAAATGTGTGCTTGAAATGGGCTGGAGGGCTGCTCTACATAGGGGGTGGGGAATCAGGGAAGGGCTCTGGGAGGAGATGACGTCATTATCACCTTGTCCTGATCATCCAGCCCACAGAATCTGTGGTGGTGCTCACCCACAGGGTCACGAGTCTGTTTCGGCCGATGCCCAACTGCCCCTTGCCGTCCTTTTCTCCCTCACGCCCGGAAGCCTCCGTCCCTTCCTCCCAAGAAGCAGCCCTAAGATGCCGAGAATCCCCTACTGGGACAAGGACAGCCCCGAAGGATTTGGGTGGGGCATAACCACTCTCTAGAGACAAATGAGCCTGGGGTCAGATCCGCGAGGTTGGGATAATAGCAGTGCCCGCTTTATCCGGTCTTTGCAAGCATTAAATGTGTCATCGCACTTAAGGCATCCAAGCGCCCCGCACACAGTAAGCGCTCTGAAAGTGGCAACTACCTCAATAAATGTCAACTGTCTCTTTCTGGACTCTGAGGAGGCCGGGCCTTCTCCCTGGGCTCGTTTCTTCCGCCGCCCTCTCCGGCAGCGGTACAGGGCAAGTTCAGGTGCACATCCTCCCCAGGCGGTGCACATCCTCCCCAGGCTGTGCACATCCTCCCCAGGCTGTCCACACCGCTGTGGCCTCGGGGCGGGTTACAGCGGAGGAATCCGAGGCCGCAGGAGAGTGGGAGGTGGCCGCTACGAACCTAAGCCTCGGGCAAGCCCACGCCCGGCGCCTCAATGACCACGCCCCATCCCCGAGAGCCGCGCCCCCGGATCCCTTCCCTTTGCCTGGAGTGGGCCCAGCCGGCGTGCTCCTTTAAGGCAGACAGCGGGCCGAGGAGTGTTTAGCCCCCTCCGACGCCGCCAAGGTACAGGCTTCACCTTTAAGGCGGCGCAGGGACTGCTGGGAAGGCCGGCGGGATGGAGGCGGTGGAACCTGCTCACGGCTGCTGGTCGGGGTGAAGCGGGGCGGGAGCCGGAGCTGGAGCGGGAGGCGGGCCCGAGCGGGAGACGCAGGTCCACGCGGGCCGATCGGGCCGGGAGAGGGGGGGCTCTGGGTCGGCCTAGGGGAGGGGTCGTCTTGGGCGCGGCCTGTGAGAGGGCCCGGCCAGCCCGCGGGGAGGGGGCGCGGTCCTGGGTGGCCGGGGGCGGGAGCTCGGCCTTTTCAGGGGAGGGGTCCGCATGATGTCGTGCTGGCCTATGGGGCGCGTCCTGGGGGGAGGGGGGGACGAAGAACCCGAGATCTCAGCTCCTTAGGGGAAGGGTCTTCCCAGGGTCGAGCTGCCCAAGAGGAGGGGCTCTGTGGCTCGGCCAGCCTGTTGGGAAGGGGGCTGCCCGAGGGGGGCTGGGGCCGGAACTCCCAGAGGGACGGTGTCTCCGCACGGGAGTGAACCCCCCAAGATCCCCGTAGGTCCGTCCTCTGGCGCGCCCTGCTCTGGCTAAGGGAGTCTCCAGGGAAGCCCCGAGACTGGGTCGCCTAAGCCGGCCTGAGCCAGTGGTCTGGGCCGAATCCGGGTCCAGCCTCGCCGGTCGCACCGCATTGCGTCTCCCGGGCCAAGACGAGCCGGGCGCGCCCCCTGTAGGGCGAGCGCGGGCACGGTGCGGGCTGCTGCCTGGGGGACGGGGCACCCCGGGGACCCAGGCGTCCGGGGACCCTAGGTGTTTACCTAATCCGGGGCGGACGGCGGCGTGGCCCCAGGCCCGGCAGCCCCTGCCCGCCCTCTCGTCTTCACAGGCGGCACGGCCATGGCCACGATGGTGCTTCCTCGGGAGGAGAAGCTGAGCCAGGATGAGATCGTGCTGGGCACCAAGGCCGTTATCCAAGGGCTAGAGACCCTGCGCGGGGAGCACCGTGCCCTTCTCGCTCCCCTCGTCGCTCATGAAGCTGGTGAGGCAGAGCCTGGCTCACAGGAGCGCTGTGTCCTCCTGCGCCGCTCCCTGGAGGCCATCGAACTGGGGCTGGGGGAGGCCCAGGTAGGCTGGTCTGGGGTGCTGAGGAGGGAGGTCATGGGAGGGGTGGAGCCTTCCAGAGGAATCCTGGCAATGTAGTAACAGAATCAGAAGGGAAGGAAGAATCTGTCCCCTGGAGCCTCATGGTAGGATCCCAGTAAATATCTGTTGAAGAAATGAATGGGCTCTGGAGATCCCGGCCGTGCCTGGCCCCAGGAGAGCCTGATCATCTGGCTTCTCTGCTAGGTAGCAGAGACTGCATGGCCTAAAAAAACAGAGGAAATCCTTAAAGATCCCCCCACTCATTCTTCTATTAATTTGTTAACAGGTAAGTTATCAAGTGCCTACTATATGCCTGGCAATGTGTTAGGTGCCAGGGCCACAGGTCCAACAAGACATGAGATCCCTGCCCTAGTCCAATAGGAAGAGAGTCAGAAATACACATATATTTATTCAATATTATGGTAAGTTCTCCAAAGAAAAAAACAAGATCTTGTGACAACCTTAGCTATTGGTCAAGCAAGACTTCTGAGGAAATGACATTTAAATCAAGACCTGAGGAAAGGAATGAACCAGCCTCCAGAGAAAGGAGGAAAGTGAGAGGTTGCATGTACAAAGGTCCTGAAGTGGAAAAGATCTTGTTGTGGAGGGAGAACTGAGAGACCTGTCTAACTGGAGCTTCGTGAGGAAAGAGAGGGACAGAAAAGGCCTGCGGAGAAGGTGGGGACCAGATCATGCTGTGCCTTATTAGTTTGGGTTTTATTCTCAGGAAACCAGGAAGCCTTTGGAGGGTTTAAGCAGTAAAGGGACACAGTCTGGCTTAGATTTTAAAACTCTCTTTGGCTGAGGGGTGGAGAATGAACGATTGTGGGTCAGGGTGGAAGGAGGTAGCAGGTGTTAGGAAGCCACTGCTAGAATTCCAATGAGAAATGGTGGGTTGGGCCATGAGGGTAGTAAGAAGGGGGTCAGTCCTAGACGTTCTGGAAGTAGGTCCAGTAGGGCCTGGGGATGGACTAAAGGAGACAGAGAGGGGCAGGGAAAGTCCCAGGTTTGTGGTTTGAGGAAATTGAGGAGAGAGCCTGGATGGGTCAGGAGTTCTGTTTGGGCCCTCTTAAGTTGGGGCTGCCAGGATGACATGCAGACAGAGCTATCCAGGAGGTGCTGGGGTGTACAAGGAGTTAGACTCTCGGGCAGAGAGTCTTGGCCCACTCAGATCTTGGCTGAGACACTGCCTGGCTCTGTGAGTCCTGGGCAGGTGGTATCCCCTTGGTTTCCTTGTTTTTAGAATAGGGGTCGTGCCATCTGCCGTAAATACTGACAGGCTGTTTAGGATATTTTTAAAAATAGCTAGTGGTTGTGAAAACACCTGTCACTTAGGCGTTTGCTAATCAACCAGAAAGTACAAGGTCCCAGACTGCCTGGCTCTCTGGGAGGGCAATGTGTCGGGCATTCACTCCTCGGCCGGCTGACTGCCAGGTGCGGAGGTGAGCACACCAGGGCCCCCTCCCAGTGTGTACAGGCACAGATGGACAACAGGATGGCATGGAGGTGGGGGAGGTGCCATGCTTTCCGGGGGCTGAGGGCATAAGAGGCTTCACTGCAGAAATGACCCTGACCATGAAGGACGGAGAAAGGGTAGAGTCTAGGCAAGGCCCCAAGGCGGGAAGAGCCTGGAAGCTCAGGAAAGGAGTCATGGAGTTTGGAGAGAGGGATGGGGGCTGAGGCTGAGGCCTCTGGATCCCCTTACCTGCCCCTGTGGTTTTCCAGACACTGGGGGTTTAGGACACACACCCCCCTCCCTCCCTGGGAGCTGCAGGAGGACAGGGGCTGTCCTGGCTCTCTGGTAGAAGTCAGGATGGGGTCTTTCGGTAGCCCTTCAGTCGTCTATCAAGGCCTTTGGGAAAGCGCTAGCCCTGGGCCAGGGGCAGCGGTATAGTGGCTCTGGCTACAGGGCTTGAGTACAACTCCTAGGAGAGACGGGGAACGAGTGGACAGCTCGGGGAAGGGGCAGCACCCCAGCTAGCGCTCTTAATGATCCGAGCACCCCAACAAGGTGGGAACTGGACCATCGATGTGGAGGACTAGCTGGAGGCCCAGGAAAGGGGATGGGCTATTTCAGAGTCCAGCACAGCCAGCCTGGGTCCTGACCGCAGAAGGAAGGACTGAGGAATCCCCAAGCCTCCTGGTTTCAGGTCTCAGGCTATGTTGGTCTGTTTGGGGCCCTGGGGCAAAACTCCCTTGATGAGAGGAGAACTTCAGGGTCCTCAGCCCTGCAGCTCCTCCGGGCCTGGCTCTTCTCTGGGGCCCAGGCTGGGGCGTCAGCAGGGCTCTGACCTCTGTTCCGGCTGGCTGCGCAGGTGATCTTGGCGCTGTCGAGCCACCTGGGGGCCGTAGAGTCGGAGAAGCAGAAGCTGCGGGCTCAGGTACGGCGCCTGGTGCAGGAGAACCAGTGGCTGCGGGAGGAGCTGGCAGGGACGCAGCAGAAGCTGCAGCGCAGTGAGCAGGCCGTGGCCCAGCTCGAGGAGGAGAAGCAGCACTTGCTGTTCATGAGCCAGATCCGCAAGCTGGACGAGGACACGTCCGCCAGCGTAAGCCCTGCCATGGCCACTGGGCGGGGCGGGGGCACCTGGGAGCAGGGAGGGGCGGCAGGGAGCAGACGCTGCTCCGACCCAGCCCGCCGACCCCTGGGCCGCCTGCTTCCCTGACGCCCATCCCGTCTTCCTCCCCAGGAGGAGAAGGGGGACGTCCCCAAAGACTCTCTGGATGACCTGTTCCCCAGTGAGGAGGAGCAGAGCCCAGGTGCGGAGGGGCAGCTGGCTCTGGGGGCGGGAAAGGAAGGCTGTGTGAACTCCTGGTCCTTGGGACCCAGAGGTCACAGAAAACAAGGTCTGAGTGGCTGCCGTGTTCTCTCCTGCCTCGTTTCTGATTATAACATCCCAGCATTAGAGCTTAAAAGGCAGGTTTTACATGTTGCTTTTCTCATCTCCCAAGTTCTGTGAGGAGCAGGCATCACAGTTCAGAGCTTTGGAGCCGTCCGGCCTGGGTGCGAGCCCTGCTCTGCCTGCGTTTGCGCTGTGGCCACTGGTAGAGTTTCTTTCCCCTCTGAGCCTCCTCTGAGGGTTAAAGGAGGACGCATGCACAGTGCTGATCCGCGGGCCAGTACTGGCCTTGCTGATCGTGTGGCCTGTGTATCAGAGCCTCTCTTCTGCACGTGACGAGGCTGAGGCTCGGGGGTTAGGCGACTTGCCCTGGGACACACAGCTTGAAGCACTGGAGCTGGGACTCTACCCACTCTTCTTGTGGGGTGACTAGACCCACTCTACAGATGGGGAAACCGAGAGCTAATGGTGACTTGCCCAGGGCCACGTGTGAGGTCGGTCAAAGGTATGGCTGGCGTGTGCCGGCCCAGCTCAGGAGGCACTTGGCACATCTGACCTCCCGCCCTTGGCTTTGCAGCCCCCAGCCCTGGAGGAGGAGACGTGGCTGCCCAACACGGGGGCTATGAAATCCCAGCACGGCTCCGCACCCTGCACAATCTGGTGATCCAGTACGCCTCTCAGGGCCGCTATGAGGTGGCTGTGCCACTCTGCAAGCAGGCCCTCGAGGACCTGGAGAAGACGTCAGGCCATGACCACCCTGACGTGGCCACCATGCTGAACATCCTGGCGCTGGTCTATCGGTGAGGGCTCCTCCGGCTTCGGTCACCCATGGGAGCATTCTTCCTGAAGACTCCAGCCCTGGTCACAAATCCTCAGTGCCTGCAGTGGGCCAGGACTCGGGTTCCACCAGGCAGTTGGGTGACAGAGAAAGAAGGATCTTGTCCCTGGAGAGGGCCAAGCCCACAGGGTGCCTGAGCTACAGACATGAATATGCCTCAGTCTAGTGGTGGGCAAAGGCTTGGACATAACCAGGGAGGGGAAGGCACACGAGGACGCGGGGGGCACACCTTCTCCAGGCACCAAGGCTTGAGGCGGGCCTTTGGTGAAAGTTGAGTTTGCCCAGAGCACAAGAGGGTCGGAGAAGGTCTCCTTGGCAGAAAGGACACCATGAGCAGAGGCCCTGGGGAACAGAGGACAAGGTGCACTGGGCATGGGGCAGTGAGGGTGGGATCTGGGGGAGTCTACCTTGTACCCCAGCACTGCACGCCCTTCCTGCACAAAGCCCCCCAAGCCAGAGAGCAGGGGCTGACCACGTCTCCCCACGCTCTGGGTCATGCCCCATCATTCTCGCTCATTAGCAAGTATAGGAAGAGTGACCACAGGGATCTTGGGCCACTAGGAGGAGGGCCTTGGGCTGGAGGATAACCCTCATCATGCTCCCACCTGCCCCCAGGGACCAAAACAAGTACAAGGAGGCTGCACACCTGCTCAATGATGCCCTGGCCATCCGCGAGAAGACGCTGGGCAAGGACCACCCAGCTGTGAGTGAGGCTGGGTGGGAGGTGGGGCTTCCCCTCCCCCCTGCAGCTCCCAGGTCCCGGGTCATGGAGCCTCCATTCTCCCACCCCCTAGGTGGCGGCGACACTGAACAACCTGGCGGTCCTGTATGGCAAGCGGGGCAAGTACAAGGAGGCTGAGCCCCTCTGCAAGCGGGCACTGGAGATCCGGGAGAAGGTGGGAGCAGGCAGGGCTGGGCAGGCCAGGTGGGCTGGGCAGACGGGGGACGTAGGCCGGCCCCGAGCCCAGCCACCGGCTCCCGCTCCTGTCCCAGGTTCTGGGCAAGTTCCATCCAGACGTGGCCAAGCAGCTGAGCAACCTGGCCCTGCTGTGCCAGAACCAGGGCAAAGCCGAGGAGGTGGAATACTACTACCGGCGGGCACTGGAGATCTACGCCACACGCCTTGGGCCTGACGACCCCAACGTGGCCAAGACCAAGAACAACCTGGTGTCCTGGGCTAGAGGGGGCTGGAGGAAGCAGGGGGTAGGGAGGAGAGGAAAAGGCTTGACTCCTTGCATCCTGCTCACCCTCTGGGCCCTGCCCCTCCAGGCCTCCTGCTACCTGAAACAGGGCAAGTACCAGGATGCAGAGACCCTGTACAAGGAGATCCTCACCCGCGCTCATGAGAAGGAGTTCGGCTCTGTCAGCGGTGAGCATGGCTGCTGTGTGCCCCAGCTCGCAGGCCCGCTCAGCTGTCAGCATCTAGGACGAATACCTCAGCCGGGCAGGCCTCACGCCTAGGGTCTGGCTGGTCCGCAGCCACTTGTGTGCACACGTGAGCACACACACCCAACTCACACAGCCCCCTGGGAGGTTGTACCTGTGCAATGCCCTCCCTTTGCATACCCGTGCCCTCGGCCCAGAGCCTCTTCCCCTTTCTCCACTGGGCAACTCACGCTCACCATGAGGGCCCAGCCCAGATGTCTCCCACTCTGGGAAGCCACCTTCTGGTCCTTCACGGTCAGTCACTTCCTCCTCAGGGACCCCTCGGCCCGGCCCATCATTCAGGCCTCGCATCGTCTCGCACCGTGGGCCTGAGGTTTGTAAGGGTGTGCTCCCCCCACCCCCCAGTCACAGGCCCCTCAAGCACAGGCCTGTGCCACAGGCATCTCTGTTCCAGAGGAGCGTCAGTCATGTTTTGGGTCTGTTTCTTGTCGATTCATTCATTCAGTGAAGCCCAACCCTGGTCCTTCTTGAGTACCCCTGACCTCCCCCCAGACCCCAGTCATGTGTCCAGCCCAACCAGCAGAGGCCCACATGAGAGGCTGGTGACAGCCCCCTCTCTCCCTACAGGGAACAACAAGCCCATCTGGATGCACGCAGAGGAACGGGAGGAGAGCAAGGTAGCTCTGCGGGGCAGGGCCGGGGCAGATGTCTGTGGAGGGAGGATGAGGCTGGGGGTGTGTAGAGGGGAGGGTCTTCTCCTACCTTCCGCTTATCTCTCCCCCAGGATAAGCGCCGGGACAGCACCCCCTATGGGGAATATGGCAGCTGGTACAAGGCCTGTAAAGTAGACAGGTGAGGACAGTGGGGCGGGACTGCTGGGCTAGCAGAGAGCTGGGAAGCGGCATCCTGGGTGGGGGCCGGGGCCAGGCTCCACACTCCATACTGCTCAGCCCCAGAACACACACCTCTTCTCTGTCAGCTCATCTTTCAAGGCCCAGGTCACAGGCCACCTGTCCCAAGAAGGTTTTCTGTCCCAGGACAGCCTGATTATCTCACTCCTGTGTTTCCCAGCCTTTAGTCCTGGTGGCAACATCCCACCTAGGGCCCTCAGGTGATTCCCCAAAACAGGGGAATCCAGGCGGACCTAGCACAGGGCCTGACACACAGGAAAGGCTCGATTTTGGTCGGCTGGGCGGTTCCTCAGGGCCAGCGTGGGCTGGGTGTCAGGATGAGCCCTGGCTCCTGGGGAACACGGAGATGGAGCCCGTCCCGCTCTCCCGTCCGCAGCCCCACGGTCAACACCACGTTGCGCAGCTTGGGGGCCCTGTACCGGCGCCAGGGCAAGCTAGAAGCCGCGCACACGCTGGAGGACTGCGCCAGCCGCAGCCGCAAGCAGGTAGGGCGACAGGCACCAGGGCTGTGGGCAGGGACCTGCGTGGCCCTGTGTGTGATCCAGTCAGGGCCCGTTGCTCCACCTGATGCGCCTGCCCCCCTCAGGGCCTGGACCCTGCAAGCCAGACCAAGGTGGTGGAGCTGCTGAAAGACAGCAGCGGTGGGCGCGGAGACCGCCGTGGCAGCCGAGACATGCCTGCGGGTGCCGGGGCTCGGTCTGAGGCTGACCTTGAGGAGGCAGGGCCTGCAGCCGAGTGGAGCGGGGTGAGTCTAGGGGCTGGACTGGGCCAGGAGGCTGTGTAGCCGGCATGGCACAGAGACGAACCTGTCCACCCCACAGGACGGCAGCGGCTCCTTGCGGCGCAGTGGCTCCTTCGGGAAGCTCCGAGATGCCCTGAGGCGCAGCAGTGAGATGCTGGTGAAGAAGCTGCAGGGTGGTGGCCCCCAGGAGCCCCCAAACCCCAGGTGAGCCGTCCACCCTGGTGAGCCTCTCGAGAACCCACCCCACAACCTACCAACCCCAGCTGAACTTCAGACCCAGGGTGAACTCCCTGTCTCGCTCAAGCTCCAGCCACCACCAATCTCCCTTCCCATCAGCCTCCCTCCCCTGCCCCAAGCTGACCCCTTCCCCCATCCTCCCCCAGTTCCACCGTGGGCAAATCCTGACCGCCCTTTCCCCTCAGGATGAAGCGGGCCAGTTCCCTCAACTTCCTCAACAAAAGTGTGGAAGAGCCAGTCCAGGTACGGGTGGATAGTTGTCGGCACTGGGCAGCTGAGGCCCCGGCCCCAGGCCTGCATGTCCTGTGTACTTGCCGAGCTTCTCAAGCATGTCTGTTCATCCAGCCACACTTCCTGTCTCCATCCCAGGTCTGGCTTTGGGCTGGACCCTGGGGAGACAAATGAGGGAAACTCAGCCCCTGCCTGTGAGCGGCCAGTGGCAGCACAGTAACTGTGGAGGTGGGTGGGAGTGTCAGGACCTCAGGGACTCTGACTAGTCAGGCCCCTTCGGGCCAGGGAAGCACGCACTGGCGGCAGCCCAAGGCTGAGCCACCTGCCCCTCTGCCCACAGCCTGGAGGCACAGGCCTCTCTGATAGCCGCACCCTCAGCTCCAGCTCCATGGACCTCTCCCGACGAAGCTCCCTTGTGGGCTAATCCTGAAGGAGCAGCCGGTCGCCAGAGCCTCCACCCGGCACCATCCCCACCCCAGCCCTGCGCATGGGCCTGCTGCTTGCCCCTCCTGTCTCTCCCAAGGACCCCTGTCTTTTCTGTTCAATCTCAGGGTAACCTCCTCCCTTGTCATCTCAGCCTGAGCCCTGGAGGCTGGGCCTGCCCACTCCAGTTCTACCCCTTATTTATTCCTTCCAGCAGGGCCCCCTCTTCCCTAGGTTCAGGGCCAGCGGAGGGGCTGGCCGGGGTCTCCAAAGGTAGAGAGAGGCTCAGGGGCCCCCCCCTCCGCAGACCCCAAATCCAAGAACACTAAGCACCTGTCGTCCCTTCAGCACCCTGCCCTCCCCCGGCCGTTGCTTCTGTATATAGAGAAATAAGTTATTGGCCGCACTCCTCCTCTCAGTCCTTGGTACTATCCGGCCTCTCACCCCACCCTTCTCTAGTGGTACCGCCCAGGCCTTAATCACCCCCATTCCGCGCGGTGGTATCTCCCAGGCTCCACATCTCAGGGGCGGTGCCTCCCCAAAGGGTTCCCTAGGCATTCTCGCTTTCCTCCCGGCCTCTGAATGGTGCGCCCTGCCCCGTGCCCCAGGACGGAGAGCCCACCCCCTGTCCGTCCTCTCACCGCCGGGCTCTGCCCTGCAGCCCGGTCTTATGCACTGCTCCTCCCGCCCAGCCTGCCCAGGCTCGGCCTGACCCCGCCCCGGGCACCGCCCGTAGAGCCATCCTGCCACGCCTCCTCCCACACCTGCAGCTTCTTGCTAGGGGCAGTGATGGACCCCTGTGGCAGGAGGGGCTGCCCCAGTTGGGAGGTGAGGCGGTCGCTCTCTATTTTCAAATGTTGCTGTAGAAATAAAGACAGTTTGACTCTGAGCTGGGCTTGTTTTGGGGCGGAGCCCGAGGGCTCCTGGCGTCTCTACCTCTCTAGATTGGGGGTGGGTACAGGAGAGGCTGCGAGTGTGTGTGTGTGTGTGTGTGTGTGTCTCGCTCACGTCTGGTCCTGCGCAGCTGCAACCCAGATAGGCTTCTCCTATCCCGGAATTGTTCGGGAGCCCCACAGATTCAGGATTTTTTTCTAACAACCTTCATCTCTGAGATTCTGGAGACCACGGGCTTTGATCGAGCTTTGCCCCTTTACCAAGCTGTTTGACCTTGAGCGAGTTACCGAGTCTCGATTTCTTCATCTATAAAATGTGGGTGACACCTTCCTGGGGTTTCTGCTGGGAGTTAGGAGCGCCAGCACACGAAGAACCCTGGATAAATGAACTTTTACTAACGCTGCGGGGAGTGTAAGGATGAATGCCTCTGTCAGACAGACGTGAAACGTGTCAACGCCAGCACTAAATTGAGGATCTAACGCCGGGACGCTGTCAGGCTCCCGAGCGCGGTCCTCAAGCCCAGGTACTTCTAGGGAGGGAACTACAAGCTCCAGAAGGCAACGCGAGGCGATGGTGGGGCGTGGGCTAGGATTACGCCTGCGCAGCGGGGGGCGGGGTGAGTTGCACAATGTAAGGAGACTACAAGTTCCGAGGAGCCACACGGCGAGGTCCCAGTCCCGAGTGTTTGCGCCTGCGCGTCGCGGGCGGGGTCTCTGGGGCGGAGCGGCCACCATCTTGAAACGGGAGGCGGAGCAGAGCCGACTGGGAGCGACTGAGCGGGCCGCCGCTGCCGCCATGAACCCCGAATAGTGAGTGCGCCCCGCACGCGCCGTCCGGCGCAGCCTCGATCCCGAGTACGGGGCTGTACGCTTACTGGGGTTGTCCGGCCCGGGTCAGGACTGCGCGGCGCCCCCACATCCGGGTCCCTCTTCCGCTGACCTCCCCCCCCTCACATCCGGGTTCTGCCCCTCCCCCGGGGGCCCCAGAACCCCGGCTCGACGCCCCGAGTTCTTGCACCCGGGCCCGGAGACTGCGACCCCGAGGGGCACCACTTGGATCCCGAGGCACCGGCACTAGCAGGCCTTGTCGGTCAGGTGACCCCGCAGCCCCGGTCTTTCCAGGCCTCAGTTTCCCCACCTGCTGCCTGAGAGTAGCGGTCTGGGTGCTGACGACGGTCCTGGCATTGTGGAGCCCATCCTCAGAGTTTCTGGTCTCGGTCCAGTTTCGGGCCCTTTAGGTCGGGTCGTATATTCTGCTCTCCAGTCCTCCCGGAATCCGCTGGGTAGCTTTTCCGCAGGTTCTCCCCTCCGGGGCTGCCGCTTTGCCCTTTACCTGGATCAAAATGCCCTGCCGCTCCCAGAGGCTGGTCCCCTCCCGCCCTCTCCTCACCTTTGCGCAAGCCCCCGGCGCCGCCGTCACCCCACTTCCCTTCGCCGTCACCCTGCCGAAGAAGTTTAGATGAATGTGGCATTTGCTTTCTCCCTTCCAGTGGGATTCTTTGTTCCTCAAACTTTCCTCACTTCTTGGTCACTCCCCCTACGGGTAGGTGGCCCACATCTCTGCCCTGACTTCTCATCGACAGTTTTCCCTTAGTGTCAGTTATCTTCTTCCTCTTTTGCCACTTCCTTTTTCTCCTCCAGATCCTGGCCTCAGATTTCCTTGGGGAAGGGTGAAGCTCTGAGCTGGATTATAAGAGGTAACAGAGAAGGGAACCGACATGCTTTCACAGAGACTTTGGAGTCTGAACCTGGTTTCCAGTATTAAAGTTAACAGCTGTGTAACTTAGAGCAAGTCGCTTCTCTTCTCTGGCCTCTATTTCTTCATTAATTGGGAATAACCGGCACTCACTTCATTGGACTGTTGTGAGGCTTAAATGAGATGATGCATTTGAAGTACTTAGCACAAGGCCAGGCACAAGTAGGAAGTGGATACGTTTTAACTGCTATTATCATTGCCGCTTGTTGACCATGTCTTTCTGGAGGCTTCATACCGGGCTCTTTACATAGGTATTCAGTGAAGTTCTAGGCTGGGCCCTGGCTTCCACTTCTGGGGCCTCCCCTGCCAAGTCAGGTATGGCACAGGGCAGTGTAGGAGGGTTTCCCTAAATAGCCCCTACTGGACCCGAAACCATGGAGTCTATCAGGAATCAGGGTAGGATACCCAGCTCTGTCACCTAACTGATGTGATCCTTGGCAAGTCACGTTCCTCTCTGTGTCTCCGTTTCCTTCTCTGTAAAGTGGGAATTCAGATGCTCCCCTTTGGGCCAGCTGTGTTATGAGGAGTGGTCAACCCTCCCCATCCCAGGACTTGTGGGAGGATCTTGTGAGTGCTTTAATACTCTAATCCAAGGCACACCTCACAGTGTGGGAGAATGCTATAGTTTTGACTCCAGGATAATGGCGGGTGGGCTCCCTGCCTCCCTTCACACCTTCCCATCCTTTCTCTCCAGTGACTACCTATTTAAGCTGCTTTTGATTGGTGACTCGGGCGTGGGCAAGTCCTGCCTGCTCCTGCGGTTTGCTGTAAGTAAGAAGCTTCCCCTACCATCCATCTGGGGTCCTGGCTTGTGGCCGGAGGGAGAGGGGGGCAACCCAGAGAATAGTGGTTGCAAGACCTGGGAGACCAAGGATGAAGTTGCAGGACTTGCCAGCAACATATCTGACTGAACAGGGGCATAGCGCTGGCAAGTTGGGGTGCTGAGAACTGGGGCTCAGCAGTTAGGAGCTCAGCTGGGGCAGGACACTGGAGGGAGGTTTTCCAGATGGGCCTCAGACCTGTTCACTCAGGCCATTTCACTGGTCCCTGATCTTTCAGGATGACACATACACAGAGAGCTACATCAGCACCATCGGGGTGGACTTCAAGATCCGAACCATTGAGCTGGATGGCAAAACCATCAAACTTCAGATCGTGAGTGTTGCTCCTCCCAGAATCTCTGGTGCAGAGACATCTCCCTTGGGAGGGGAGGGGCCCTGGGCATGGAGCCCAGGGCTGACCTGCCCCCCTCTCCTGCTGTCTTGTAGTGGGACACCGCTGGTCAGGAACGGTTCCGGACCATCACTTCCAGCTACTACCGGGGGGCTCACGGCATCATCGTGGTGTACGACGTCACCGACCAGGTACTCCTGGGCTCACCGTCCCCCACTTTGCCTCCTCAGCCTCAGGTCTTTGGCTTTTGCTGCTTTTTACTGTTCCCGTTCTCTCCTTCTGATGCTGCCCGGAAAGGAGACTGTTCTCGGACTCATTTCACAAGGAGGGAAATAGCTGCAGACCTGGATCCTCCCCAGGCCCCGCTGCAGGGCCTTGGCAGAACCAGGCCTCACCTCCCTGTCAGACTTGCCACGTTATTCTAGACCTTCCAGGCACCTGTCTTTTGTGGGGGGGTTAGTCAGCTGATTGGTTGCTGTGCTGGGCCCGTGGCCTCCTGGGTAAAGACACTGTGGAGAAGCGATTGGAGGGCCTTACACAAGGAAGTGAGGGAGCCCTGCACTCTGGGCCCAGTGTGAGCAGAGTTCTGGGAGCCCTGTGTCTGCTGTGGCAGTGTTAGTCTCGTGTCATTGGCATCAGTGGTGATGTTAATAGCGGGAAACAGTCCTGTCACGCGTTAGAGTTCACAGGTTCTGTCACAGCCCTTTGATGCTTGTACCACTCCAAAGAGGTGTGTGTTATATTCCCATTTTACAGATGAAGAAATGGGTCGGGGTGGTAGGACTTTCTTAGGCCCTGCAGCTAGTTAAGTGGCAGAGACAGAAAGCCCAGGCCTACTGATTCTACCCACTTTGTTTTTTTTTAAAACTTTGTTGCTTCATGGGGGTCAGGCCCTGGGGACATGGAGGTACTTGTATCAGCCCCAGGCCAGGAGGAGTCCCTGCTCTGAGGGGCAGCTGGGCTCTTCAGCTCACCAGGGACTCGTGATGCCTCCTGGACAACAAGCTGTGGGTGAACTTTGCTCCACTCAGAGGTCACCAAGGACCTCTAACCGCCAAAACTTGTGACTTCATTTCAGTTTTTGCCATGATTGATCTCCCATGGCTTTTAACTCTGTTCTCTTCCCTCTCTTTGAAAAAGTTACTGTCTCAAGCTCTGCCATCTCCTGCTGCAGCAGATTCTCTTTTCAGTGACTTCTTACTGGTCCGTCGTATCCTGCCCCGCTACAGCCCCAGGTTCTGTGCCTCTTGATTGCCCCAGGCCGCCTCCTGACTCTCCCTGCACAGTTCTGACCACCTTGTGGTTTGGCTTCTTGTTTTGTGATTTCTACGAGTAAAGGGCTGTCACTGTGGATCGCCTCCTGAGTCCTGCGCTCTCCTGGCACTTTATGTCTGTGTTAATTCCCATGTTCACAGTAGAACCCAGTGAACTCAATGGTGGCATCCCTCTTTTCCAGATGAGGAAACACACTTAGACGTATGTTGAGTTACCTGCCCATGGCTTCACAGTCAGGAAAGGCAAAGCCTGTGTTTTGAACCCAGGGTTCTTTGCTTCCCAGCACATCCTTTCCTGCCTCTAGACCGCCTTCAGGCCATCTGCAGAGCTCCAGACCATCTGCAGAGCTCCAGACCATCTGCAGAACTCAGCTTGTCTGGTGCTGGTCTCCCCATCTCTTCTTGAACTGGCTTCTGCATCCTCATCTTTACAACAGAGTCCCTGTTGGCCTGACCAGAAAACTCTTCCCTCCCCCATCCTGTCAGTCCCTGGGCCCCTCTGTTCTCCCCCATCATCTCTCCCAGATCCGTTCCCTTGTAATAATAGCAGTGATGAGGATAATGGCAGCTCTTGCTAATTAAGCACTTGTTAGGAGACAAGCCTGCATTCATTATCCCATGCTCACAACAGCCCCACCAGGAGGTACTGTTTTATAGAAGTGAGGAAACTGAGGTTCAGAGAAGCCAAGTGACATATCTAGGATCATACAATAAGTGGCAGAGGTGGGGCTTAACCCAGGGTGGTCTGACTCTAAATCCTGTGCTCTTGCCTGCCTCATTCCCTGGCTCAGGG